AGGGCTCATAGGATTAGTGAATTATATTAAAGCTAAAAAACGCAGAACACTTAAGCTTGTTATTTCAATTTTCAAAATAAATAAGCTTTAAACGAAACTTTTAGAACAGTGTTATATACACAGATTCTATTTCCTAGAAACAACGCCTAAGTCCGAGTGTCCTAAACCCAGTGGCTGTGTGGTAGTGGAAGGGCTGTCACTGGATTCCCACTGCAGGGGGACAGGCCCAGAGTATGTGGCTTGCCCTCCTTACCTGGCATCGTGCCTCCACAAGCACAGCGAGCAGTCTTCTGGCCTCCACTGGAGCAGAATGTGCAGCAGTGAAATACCCCGTGGTGTGAGCGGCTCTTCTTTCTCACGGTCACAGTGAATGGTGAGCCCTTCAGTGTTCAGAAGAGCAAAGAACATCACCTTATGAGTCAATAGGGATGTGCTGAGCATCACTGTGTGCTAAACGAAGTGTAAGTCACAGGGTCTGCTCTTGGAGGGACAAGGACAGCACTAGAGGTAGAGAGACTAGGGGACCACAACTAACCCTGTGCTCAGGTGGGTAGGGGCAGATACAAATGAAGTGAAATAATCAAGGAGTCTGTGCTGCCCTTTAGCATGCTTTTCACCACAGATGCTAAGTACTTAATGTAGGTGCTGATCTTCCCCATGTGGCTGAACCATATGGGCACTGCTAGAGTCCCACAGAGCAGCTCCATTGTCATGACACCTGTTTTAGCTGGGGCTTGTTCCAGCAAACGGGAAGAAAAAGCAGAGGCCCAGACCACAATCAGCTTAAGCATCTTCCTGACGGATTCTGTCTCATTCTGTCCTTGCATGGAGTGGAAGCCATGTAGATACTTGATACACTGTTGTTGTCGTGTGCTGCCGAGTTGCTTCCAACTCATAGCCACCCTACAGGACAGAGCACAACTGCCCCATAGGGTTTCTAAGGCTGTATTCTTTACAGAAGCAGCTAGTAGGCTGATACATTAGTAATCCCAATTTGTATGTGACTGACTGCTATCTCCTCAATTTTCGAGGAATCTCAGAGGTAGTTAGTCAAGTGCTATGACCACTAGGACATTTTGTAGCCCTTTCTCTAATTTCTGAGCCACATGCCTCCTCTCCTCAAATACGAAGCTAGCCCTTTTCTTTCCACCCTCCATCCTGGACACGTCTGTTTACCCACCCACTGATTTTGGGGCTGTGCAGACATATGGAAGGGAGGAAGGTGTATGTGGCTAGTAATTCTCAAATTAGTAATTGCCGCCTGCTTTCTTCAAGGGTTACTTTCATTCCCCAGTTCCTATCCTATGGTAAACGGTATTTAATGAGTGTTGCCACGTGCCTACCCCTGTGTGAGAACATTATCTGAGAAAGTGCAAATTAGAGAGTCTGGCAGCTTAGACGTCTTCCAAATGTTAAGTTTCCCTTCCTTTAAAAGAGTTTACAATCCATTTTAAAAACATCTTGGAGTTCAAAGAAATCGGTTCAAATTCCAGTCTGTGACTCGCAGCAAGTTTTGGTCTCTCAGCCTAGTTGATAAAATGCAGACGATGACCCCCATGCCGCGGAGTGGCTATAAGGAAAAGTGAAATAATGTCTGCAGAATTACCTAACCTGTTCCTGGCATATTTAATTAGGTAAGCAGTAAGTGGCTACTGGATTTGAATCTTCCTAGTGCACAGATCACAAGCCTAACATATCATGACGCTGTGTGGGATTTCACTGTCCCTATCAGTGTTGAGGGAAACCTCTGACTACTGGAATGTCAGGAGAGAAATTCTGCCAAACATGTTATTACCCAATTTTTAAAAATCCATAATCTCTAAACCAGAAAGTATTATACCTGTTTAGTGGAGGTGGTATAGTAACCATGGTAACATGTAAGCATATATATAAAACAGAGTAGGGAATCACATGGGCAGATGGATAGATGACTGGTCAGCTGAGAGGAGGGGTCAGAACCCTCCCAATTGTGTTCCCACGTTTGGTCTTGGTCTGAACAAAGCTGGGAAATCCTGAGCTAGATTATATTTCTTGATCATGTATGTTTGTCTGCTGGTAGTCTGCCTCATGTGATCAAAGCGTCTTCCTAAACTTAAGAATTCCAATAAACTGACTAGGAGAGTGGTAAAATACAAGGCATGACTGCCAGAAGGTAAAACAGGGATAAACCATAAAACTCATAGCGACCCTATAGCACAGAGTAAAACTGCCCCATAGGGTTTCCGAAGAGTGGCTGGTGGATTCGAGCTGCTGACCTTTTGGTTAGCAGCCAAACTCTTAACCACTGTACCGCCAGTGCTCCAAAACAGGGAGAGTTCTTATAGTCACCTGCATTCTCTAGTAAGAATGAGGGTAGCAAAATGGGGACCATTGCTAAAGTGACGAGAAATAAGGAAGAAGAAGAGACTCCTAATCAGTCCCTCCTTATAGCTGATCCTATGAGAAATGTCTACACCTTCTGAGAAGACAGAATCCAGGGCAGGGGGGTGGTGGGTGGGAGGGAGAGCAGTGTGAAAAGAAACTCAGAGAAGCATGGGCACAGATCTTACTCACCTGTACATGCTGCTCTTTGACACAGACCCACACAGAATAGATCCCAGGTTCCTTGGGTGTATAGGAGACAGAGTATGTCCCATCCCTGTTATCTTGGACAATCGTTCTGACTGGACTGGATGGAGAAAAGAATTAAAAAAGCATTTACTCTCACAAGCCTGCTTCAGTTGCCTGTTATTTTAGGATGTAAACTCTACACCATTCCATTCACTATTAATTTTAAATGTCCCCCAAGCAGGATGCCACTCCCATTTGCCTCAAGAGTTGCCTTCACCTGGGTAGGTAAGCAAAATAAATCTTAATCTGATATTCAGATGAATTCTCTGAAAATGTATTGTGTTCTTTTCAAGGGGCTTCTGTTGCATCCCAGGCTCTTTGTCTTCCCTCTTTCCTACTCCAATTCCAGAGAAATATAAATATGTTCCCAGCCCCATCTAGTAGCAAAGTGGGGTTGAATTTGAGAAGGGCATCATTCAGTCTAACATAGATTTTTCAGTCTATTCAAAGCTGGGAATAAAGACAATCTAAGGGGAAGATAATACTTTTGAGAGGAAACTGAATATAGGTATAAAACCCACAAAACAAAACACATCTGATCCAATTGGTTATGTCATATGTTTTAATAGCATCACAGGGAAGTAAGATGTAACTACTGCAGATACATCTCCAAAACTGCAAGGGACCTCAAGTTTTTAGTTTCATCACTGCTTATTAACCATGACACATAATTGTATAATACAAACCAGTCTTTCTTATCTTTAGGGACCACAGCAACTTGAATGTTGTCTCCTCCCCTGCCCATGCTCTCTCCTGCTGCATCCTTACAAAGCAGGGTGAACGAGGCTGTCTGTTTCTCCCGGGCTCTGTGGAGATCTGCAAAAGATTAAACACTCAATATTCACCTCGAAGGCAAGTTGCAGTGCCTACATCTCAAAGTTAGACACTATCTTTCTTTTTCTCTTCAGAACAAAAAGTTTGTGCTTCCTGTTCACTGTAGCTGCCCCTCTCCTTTTCTCTTCTCTTCCTGTTTTTTCTCCCAGACTGCACCTCTTGGGAGTCTCTGCTGGTTGAGCTTGGTTATCTTTCTGCCAGTAGCTGCTCCTGGGTCACATAGGATCCTGACCTTCATTTAAGAAGCTTTGAAAATACTCAGGATTGACCTAATTATTCAGAGAAGAAAGGCTCTAGACCTCATAAGAGAGGATGGTAACCCCAAAACTACCCTGAGTTCCAGATCCTGCTGGATTAGGCAGGGGGTACAGCTGACCAGCTTGGACTGTTCTTGTGAGATCTTCCAGAACTAGGTAGCTCATGCCAAGGTGCTGGGGGGATAGCCTATAGCCTCAGCCCGTAGGCCAACATTCAGATGAAAAAATTCAGGTTTTCTTAACCTACATATGGTTCAGGAACCAGTAGGAGGTCCACTGAGGGGCTTCTGAAGGGACTAAGAAGCTCTTGAGATTGTATGCCCAAGTTACTGGGTGTTTCGTGGGGAGAGACCATTCTCAAAGGGATCTATGACCTTCAAACAGTTACGAATTCTGGTGCCAGAGTCAGGACGACTCTAGGATACAATCCTCCTGTCTGGACTGATCTATGAAATGCTTGATTAACATGTTTCCTTTAGGAAACGAACACTGTGGTCAAGAGAAATAATTTTTCCCCCTACTCAGTGAAATGTCTACCATATCCCTTTTCCTAACTGCCAGTGGCATAAATGGTTTATTCAGAACTTGATCCCAGCACTCTGGGACCTGCCATGCTCCTCTCTAAACAGGCAGGATTTGGTCCTGCCCTTTGGGCACCATCTCTGTTCTGTCATCTGATAGAAATAAAGCATGATCCTTGAGTACCTTGGTAGATACTACTTTTCTCAACTGGAAAAGGATCAAGCCTCACCTTAGTAGTGGATATCAGCAGTACCCCTCCAATTCCTGACCAGAGCAAATTAGAAGGAAAAGTACAAGGGAAAGCTTACTGTCCTTTGGATCAATACGTCTCTCTCCCTTGGCAAAATGGTCAGTAGGGGAGGTCTGCCTAGCTGAATGAAGGCCCATAAGCCACAAATCTTTAAATACCATGTTCCTGTCCACTACCCTCTCAGTGCCCCCAAAAAATGCCTTCCTACCTTCTCCTTGAAGGACACACTTGGCAGGATCGACCTCTTTGGTATTGATGGCCCCAAAAACTTCATAGCCATGGCACCGGCCGGCTTTCTCCTGAGGAGAGAAGCATATCTTATCGTTTACTCCAGGACGGGCACTATATTCAACTTTGTTCAGCTTTGTGAGTCGTTCTACTACCACCCCCTTGGTGATGAGGATCTCCAAGTCTGAGCCGCTGGTCAGCAAGTGCTCGGTGAACTCCACTCCGGTCCGCATGTCGGCCAGCAGCTGCTCCAGCTGTGCCTTCTGCAGCTGCAGGGAGTTTTCCTTCTGAATCCGAATGTCATCCAGCTGCTTCAGCAGCTTGTCCCGATGCTCCTCAATGGCCTTGATGTAGCCCTCAGAGAAGGTTCGGACATCCGCAGCCACAGTCTCCACTCGCTCCTGGAGGGCACTGTTCAGCCCTTTGATCTGAGTCAGGGCTTCCTCCAGGGCCTCCACATGGGGCTGGGTGCCTTTGAGGAGCTCCCGCATGGAGTTCCCGTGCTTGTGGATGACGTTGCTGGTAAAGTCATAAGGGTGCTCCCGGTGCTCACCCACCACGCAGTCCCGGCACACAGGCCGATCGCAGAGCTCACAGAACAGCTTCAGCTCCTCCGCAGGGTGAGTGGGACACAAGATGGGTTTCCCAATCCGCCTGTAGCCTTTCAAGTCTTTGAGGTCCACCATGGTATGGTAAGTCGTCTTCTTCTGCCGCCTAGGGGCAAACAGAGTCAGGAATAGGAAATTAGGGACCAACTCTAGTTGGCAAACAGTTTAGTAAAGAGGTTTTAAGAGCATGGGATCTGAAGCCAAACAAATTTGGTTCAGATCCTTGGTCTAACCTCTTACTAACCTCATGATCTTCTCTAATTCTGGGTCCGTGTCTGTACAATGGGGATAATACCTAGCTGAAAGCGTTGTTATATAGAATAACATGAGAGTAGACCAGGGCTTGGGACAAGACTTTGTAAAAGGTTGCAGTGCTAAGACTGCATCCTGGAACTTCCCCGAAGAGTTAATATGACAAGTTTAGACAGGCGCCACAGCCTGCTCCTACAGCAAGCTAGCAGTGAGCGCACAGTGGAAGCCCAGCACCAAGAGACAGAAACTGTGCCAGATGGCACAGCACTAAACTCCAGGGAATTAAAATGCAGCTGGCCCTGACAAAAAGGCTCATCCAGTCTTCATCTAGACTTTCTAAGGCATTTCCTTTGACCAGCACCTACATCACCTAAAGCAACAGGCTAGAATTTCCCTCGGTAAGGTGCATCAGCATTATCAGAACATCAGCATTATCAGAGCGTGAGAACAATGGTCAGTAGAATCAAAGCGCTCCTTTAATTCCCCTTCTCTGTAGTCCTCTAGAGATTCCAGGAAATCCCTAGAAAATCACAGTGACTGCTTAGTGTTCCCCCTTTAGCAGTATATCAACTTGAAGCTTATATGCCTGTTGTGGCTGCACAGAAAGTAGGGTCAGCTGTTTACCTGGCAGCAAGACAGCCATAGGGACTATCGCATAATTACAAGTTAAAAACAGAAAAGACAGACTGATGACTACTAACTGGTTCTGTTGGTAGAGCCAGAAAACAAATGGAAACAGAATTTAAAAATAATTTTAGGGTAATCCTAAAACCTTGGCCATTTTATATTCTGATGTCCAGGGGTGGGGTAGGTGAAAAGGAACAGAAAATGCACCACGTGACAAAACTGTTCACCAAATGCCATGAAAGAGATAACCTACACCCCGATTAGCACCGCCCAGACCACCTCACCAAGCTCCAGGGTAACTCTGTGGTACAAAGCAAAGGCTGAGGTAGGGCCAAGCCAATCAGCACCTATACTGGAAAGGCAGCACGGATTTGTAGAAAGAGCACAGAATGCAGTCAGGAGATCTGGATTTAGAACTGAGTTCTGTTAGATACTTATTTACCAGCTGTGGGACACTGGTAAATCAGCTATCATTGTTGAGCTTGTTTCCTCAATTAACAACTGGGGATGAAAACAGTGCCTGCTTTTCCTTAGAGTTGCAAGGCTCCAATGAGATTGAGAGCAGGGGCTATGCTATTATATTCTTTCTCTTATCTCCAGCACCTATTGCAATTATTCATTACACAAGTGATTGATGATTGAAGGAAACTGTGAATGTGCTTTGTAGACTATGCAAAAGTCGGTTACTGTGATTACTACAGGTATTATATATCTTTGACTTCAGGGGTTAACTACTGTTCTAGAGTATTGAACATCTTATATTGCTCCTTGACCTTGAGTGCTATTAAGAAAGCTGTCCTTTCCATCCGCTCACCAACGGATTTCTCTGTCTTCACACCTCTTTGTACTCCTCTCTTAGCCACACCAGCTGGGGTATCCAATCTTTACCTATGAGCCTGGCAGCAGAAGTGGCAGAGATTGGCTTTGCAGGTCTGACACCTCTTCTCCACCTCCCGGTCGCTGCACAGGTCACACACCAGGCCCTGGCCTTCCCCACGCAGACTCTCCAGCAAAACATCATTCATGGCCAGGTGGTCTACGGTTAAAGCCTTCACTCCACCCACGGGCAGGTCCACCTGAGCATCACATACTGGACAGAGGATGCCGATCTGCGGGCGAGGACTGCGTGGCTTGAGTTCCTGGAATACTGACCCCTCAGAGCTTGTGTCAGAGTCTCCCCCTCGGAAATCCACTACTGAGAAGGGTTCCAGCTGCTCCAGACACGTTGTGCAAACCGTGTGCAAACAAGGCAAGAGCCTGGGGGCTTTGAAAAGCCCCATGCACAAAGGGCAGTGAGTCTTGCCTGAGTTGCCAAGTGCAGTCCAACTGGGGAGTTTGCTGACGAACCCCAGCAGCGTTTGCTTCCTGTTTTCTGACATACTCCCCACGTTTGTACCCAATATTAGAAAAGGCCCTAGGCAGTTCTACAATGAAGCAGTGTGTGATTAAGCCCACCCAAAAAAGTTTCCAGAACTTGAACAGAGACCATGGGAACTCTTTTGTCGGCAAATAAAAGGGCAAAAGAGAAGAGGATTCCTCAAAGGAACCACGCACAGATCTACTCAAGAGGGTCCCCTCCTTTCCATGGCATCCCATACCAGACACGCCCACGTCCTCCTCTGCCCCCCAAGTCCTCCCCTGAAGCGCTTCCAGGGCTAGCTCCGGAGCTATTCCTGCTAGCGACTCCTTGACCCCTACACCTCCCACACCCTCCACTGCCACCCTTCCCGCCCCCCAGTCCCCCACTGGCCGGTCTCCCTACACGCAAGCGCCGCCCCGCGCCACCCCGCCCCCCGATCGATGAGGTAGGGGGTCTCCCTGCTTCCCTCCACAGGACCCTCTGCAGACGGCACGCGGCGTGCGAAGGCGCTGCGAACCCCCGCAAGCTCCTGCGCTGCCTCGTCCAGTCCGCGCCACGGCCCAAGGTGTCCGACGGTTCTTGCCCTTCTTCCCACCAATCCCATCCCGGGTCTACTCAGGCGAGTCCAATCACCGTCTGAGAGGGGCGGCCCTCGCCGCTCCGGACCACGCCTCCCTCCGGAGTGACACAAAGCGAAGCTAATAAGCTTTGGAAATTTCACATCTTCGCCAGTCCCCTCCCGCGGAGGAGAGGGACCAAGCGAAGGGCCGGAGGCGGGGGCGGCGGGAGGAAAAGGGAAAGAGCTAGGCTGGGAGTCAGCGACATAGTATAGCCGGCGTCACCATTTTACGGGGATTGACCCGCTCTCTATCTCTGTGGCGACCAGAGAGGCCTCAGAATCATTTAAAAAGCCGCGCTGATGTAGCCATACGGGCGGCCTCCTTTACATCCTGGGATTGGTCCCCAGAGCCCAGAAGTGGGCTCTCCCATTGGTGGGTGGCGCTGTCAGTTGGCCCGGAAGGTTCTTGGCGCAGAGCTTGCTGGGAGTTGTAGGATGTGGCGATTTCCTCGATCCTGAGGAACCGAGAGCACTAGTTTTTTTTTTTCAGCGCTGGTCTGAGGCTGCTAGCTTCCCTTTTTGTCGCCCCGAGCTTATTTTAGTCCAGGAATCCCTCAGGTCTAGCATGCCAGTTGCAAGAACTCCGGCAACTCGCTAACTCCCTGGCATATTCTGGATATAAAGGGCACTTCCGACTCTGGTTCTGGGGACCAGTTACGGAGAACGTTGAAGCGAGGTCTAGAATTGAGCGCTTCATCCTGCCAGCCCCGGGGAGATCTACTCTCGATTCCCTGGGGCTTGAGAAGCGGTTGTTTCACTCATGGAGGGTGAAGGAGAGGGAAGAATGTGGAGAAGACCTGAGGGGTAAAAATATTTGTCATCCAGAATTGTGTAGTTAATGTATAACAGAAATGGAGCAAGTCTGTCCCGCTGTTTTTATCAGTCAAGGAGGACTTACTATTTGCCCTTGACTGGTCACAATGGGTCAGTGGAAGATGTCAAAGCCCTTTGTGGGCTCACCAGCTAGTTGGGAAAAACCTATCTGGTGCCCTTACCTGAAATGTCCTTACCAGGAGTTTACTGATTGGGCCATATAGGAGATTTGCGACACCTGGGATTCCAAGATTCCGAAACGTCCTAGATCCTTACCCTACCCCTGTTCTCATTATCTCCATTCCTTTAAGCGTCTCTCGTATGTTAAAGGAGCCCTGGTGGCACAGAGGTTAAGAGCTCGGCTGCTAAACAAAAGGTTGGGAGTTTGAATCCACCAGCTGCTCCAAGGAAACCCTATGGGGGGCAGTTCTGCTCTGTCCTATAGAATCGCTATGAGTTGGAATCGACTCAAAAGCAACAGGTTTGGTGGGTTTACGGTATCCTCTTGCTTTCTTTGTTCATGACCCACCCCCACTTGATTTGACCTAAGAGTCAGCTGTTCCATTGATGTCTTCATTATCCAGTTCATGCTATAGGCACAGTATCTTGAGCCTAACCTTTTAAAAATGTGAAATCTGAAAAAAATTTTGTTCAATAAAATATGAAAAGAAAACTAAACAAAAAGGATGTTGGGCCATTTCCAAAATATAACATGTCAACAAGTCAAAGGCCTTTTAACTTTTATATAAAAATCAAGTGTAATTTCCAAAAGTAAGAATACCTACAAAGGTCTTAAAAGAGCCCTTACCTATATTTCTTCAGCCTCTTGTTCTTGTCCACATTTAGTCTGATTCAGAATCTGCTTTCTCCAGTCCAGTGCGATGGAGAAAGTAACAAAACCAGTGGGGACTTGGGTTTGCTATATATTCTTGCTCTGAACTTCACCTCGACTGGCAAAGCAGCTTGGTGATGCTTTGCTTAATGTCTTATTCATGCTCTATCACATTTCTGGTGGTAGATGTTCCAAGCTTCTCTTGTTTAAGAAGTGCTTTATAATTTACATGTGTATTACCTCATTTAATTTTTAACAACACTGAAGTAAGCATTGTGCTTTTTCACAGGTGAGGAAACTGAGTCTCCAGGAGGTCTTGTGGTCAGTCCAAGGTAATACATCTGGGACTTGAATTCAGTCTTACGATGCCATGTCTAAGATTTTTCCTCAATCATCTCTACTCTTTCCTTTCCCAGCTTCTTAAAATGAACAGTGGGTCATATAGCACTCATCTGCATTTTCCACCTCTTGGGATTATTGGGAAGCTTCTTTTCCACTGACAGTATATGCTGCCGGCAGGCAGGGACCTGTGTAACTATTTGAAATGAAAGAAACGGGCATGTGCGGCAAATTACTGTTTTTACAGGGTACTGTATGAGGTGTTGCATCCTGGAGGTGTGATTGTGCAAAACCTTTGTCTCTTTTGGCTTTTGTACAGCAAGATAACCCTTGTAAGCATATTTCTGGGTTCCTTTGCATTATCTGGAAGTTGCATTTCTTGGAATTTGAGTTTCTTGCAGTGATTCCATGTTTGTGTGAATACTGCATTTTCAGGTGCCATACATTGTATCCACCTGTCAAGGGACCTAGAAGGTGCTGCAGAATCCAGAGGGACATATCTGTCCCACATAATCCTATCCCCAGAGTCCAAAGGAACATATGTATCCCATAGTGTTGTTGTCTTTAGGTACTGTCGAGTCGGTTCTGACTCATAGCAACTCTATTTACAACAGAACGAAACACTGCCCGGCCCTGCACCATCCTCACAATCATTGTTATGCTTGAGCCCATTGTCGCAGCCACTGTATCAGTCTATCTCATTGAGGGTCTTCCTCTTTTTTGCTGACCCAAGCATGATGTCCTTCTCCAGGGACTGGTCCCTCCTGACAACATGTCCAAAGTATGTGAGACGAAGTCCCGCCGTCCTTGCTTCTAAGGAGCATTCTGGCTGTACTTCTTCCAAGACAGATTTGTTTATTC